GGGACACAGAAGACACAGCAGCCAGCGCTGGATCAGAGACCGACACCAGCACTGGAGGGACTCCTGAAAACTACTGGAAAGAAGATGATCTGATCAAGAGGTATCATTTAAGGTAAGTCCTGAAAGCAGCATGGGGGGGACGATATTGAGCGACGTATCGCTGCAAAAATCGCTCGATAAATGGGGCCTTAAAGTAGTTAATTCTCCTTGCCCTTGAATATTGGCCTGCAGGAACATTACATGGCTTCAGTTTGGAATGCAAACTAGCAGCCCACAAATGACTTGAGGAGCCAGGTTTTCAGTATTATCTGGAACAAATATAATATAAATATGGCAAGATTTACTCTCTCTGCTGCCCCAAGGCCAGCTTTCTCAATGCAGTTAGTTTACATTTTTAAATTTAAATTAAAGTGATACTAATCTCAGAATTTAAACCTTAAAAATGCATTTAGGTACATTAACTAATAACAGAAATGTATCTTGTTTGTGTATCACTGGGCTGTAGATCCTCAAATCATCTCTGAATTGGTGCTGACACTGTCCTTCCTTCTGGAGGGTGGCTACTATTGTTCCCCATGGTCCCTGTGTGTGTTGTAAAGTAGTCACCGCTCCAAGCTCACTCCTGTGATGGACTACAATCTCACGTTTAGTTTACTAATTTGTAATGAGATTGTAGTCCATCACAGGAGTGACCTTGGAGCGGTGACTACTTTACAACACACACAGGGACCATGGGGAACAATAGTAGCCACCCACCAGAAGGAAGGACAGTGTCAGCACCAATTCAGAGATGATTTGAGGATCTACAGCCGAGTGATACACAAATAAGATACATTTTTGTTTATAGTTAAGGTACTTGAATGCATCTTTAAGATTTCACTCCTGAGTTTAGTGTCACTTTAAGTCAGAATGTTACACAGGGAAGGGTAGATATGAACATATTATTGTTGGTGTCAAGTACTCTGATATAACTGCTTTTCCACTACAGGGTAACATTTTTATGTAGTGATTATTGTGCTTTTTACTTTTAAACTATACCTTGGGTTTCAAAGGGCTTCCTTAAATAAGAACTCAAGTTCTTATTTAAAACTTTGCTATAGTGTTCTAGTGTTTCTAGTGGTAGAACCGGCTTAGTTTCTGATGCTGGGAGGGGCTGCGAATAATTGTAAATTAGCTGATCACTTTAACACCCAGAATAATTTGACGCCCTGTGTCAAAGATCAACTTCAGCCAAAGCTGTCTTTTTAGTTTACCATGGAGCAAGGAAGGCCCTGTTCTTCTGTCCAGTCTTCGCTGCTGTCTGTGACACCATTATTAGAATCTCCCCTCACTTCCTGCATGGTCACCTAGACCGGAAGTGAAGGGAATCTCTCCAACTAAGACATAAAGAAGATAATGATTAGGGGAATTTTGTTCCTGCTTGAACCTCTGTCTGTTTTTGCTATTACTTGTGTTCCCTTTGATGAGATTCTTTTCAGTACCTGCAGTCAGTGGGACATAACTTGAGGAGGAATTAGGCAACAGACAGCATTAAAAACCAGACAGATGTTCTAATCCTTCTCAAGTTTTGGCTGGAGTTCCTACATAAGAAGAAATCTGAGAAAAATTATTCCTAACCTTTTGCAGTAGGGCTACACCCGCACTGCAAGGGTTAAGTGCTCGCTTTATCTAGGGTGTAAAATAAAAAGGTTATATTCACCTGAACCCTGGAGCCGGCTGGCTCCTAGACCAGTCCATTCCGCCGATCTCCTCCTCCGCTGTAGAGATGGTATGTTCCGCAACACATAATTAAAACTGCTTTTCCTCAGTAGAGAAGGGGAAGGCCAGAGCCCCTGTCAGATTTGTGTTACTGTCTTTCACTTCCTGTCTGGTGAAACCATGGTTAGCAGGACAGGAATTGAGGGTAAATCTCTCTGACAAAGCCCCAGACAGCAGTAAGAACCCAACAGAAGTTCAGAAAATGTCCCACTCTGTCCAAAACTTGAAAAATAGTTTTTAACTTCCCATACACTTTAATGTTCCAGTTTAACAAAGGACCAACTACAAGGGATTCTGGGAAAACTGTGTTGGCCTAGCAGCCATGGCAGTTCACCAGCTTTATTCGTCTGCAGGATAGCCATGGCTGTGAAGATTTCCATTCTTATAGCATCAAGATGGTTTGTTTGAGTCTTTACAGAATTAGATATTTATTGCATTTCAATCTAAGGACATCGGGCAATGCTACGGTGACTGTGTGCCACCCGGGAATAGTGTTTATGTACCAGCTACCTCTGATTTCCAAAGATGTACCCAGGGTGTGTCTGGGAAAATGTCGGTCTTCTCAATGAGAACCATTCTGTACAGATTTTCCTGTTTTTCTGCTTTTCAGATTAAATCCTTACCAACTCCCATTCATAATTAGAGCTAAGAATGCTGAACAAAGATAAACTGAAGACAAAGCAACCGGAAGCCAACGCATTTTGGGGGCTAGACAAATGCTTTCGCTGCTGGCACTAACACTCACTGGATGTTCTCCTGCATATCTCCTCCCCAGCTCTGATTGTTCAGGAGCTCTGCCCCGAGTCCAGTAAAGTTGCCCATACACTGTAATTATTTCATCATTCAACCAGCGGGCTGAATGAAGAAAATATTACAGATTCCGCCATCAATGCTTACAAACGTAGATTGAGGAGCCTCCAGATGTCTTCATTGTGCCGCCGGCCGCTGTCAGATTTCCCCAACAGAGCCGGCAGCTCATTGGCTGCCGGCTCTGTTCATTCGAAGATTTTCCGTCCAGCATCAAGGGATGGCAGCTGAAAGTGTCCCGGCAGCGTCAGCCACTGTGCGAATTTCAGCTGCTTCATCAAGAACCGACTGAAAGTTGCAGTGTCCATACAGCTTTAGTACTTCAACATAGAAAGTAGGATTGTCTAGCCCCTGAAAAGCATTAGTTTGCTGTTGCTTTGCCATGGAATCTGTAAAAGACTCCTAAAACGTGGCGATCCTATTAGCTCTATTACATGTGAATTTCTCAATCTCAGTGGCCCCCCGCTTTGTGGAGTGCTGCTGAACCCAAGCAACCAGGCCCAAAAAATGTCTTTCTTTAACCTCTTGCCGTCCGCCCGTTAAGAAAAAACGGACGGACGGCTGACTCCTATCCGCGGGTTGCCGTCGCCAGACGGCATTTTTTTCCTGCTCGCGCGCACTAGGGGACCCGCTTGTTAATACAGCCGTTAACGGCTGTTTCACATACAACCGATCAGCGGCTCTATAGCCGCCGATCGGTTGTATGGCGTAAATTTCGGAGGCCCCCCCGCGCGATCGCGGGTGCCGCCATCTCCCCCCTCCTGACCCCTCACCTTTAATCCCGGGATCCGCTGCCCCATCTGCGGCCCGGGACCGGCTCGGGATGGCGTCAGGAGGAGGAGGGAGGGAGATCAGCTCCTTGCTGTTCTCAAAAAGAAGATTTGTGTCCAGCACCTCCTGTCCACCTTTTTCCATGCTTCTCTGCTTGGCACTGGCATGGAAGCAGGAGTCAGCGAATGGCAGCTTCCATCTGCAGTTTCTCACGTTGGTTGTGGCAGATTCACTTAATATTCCTTGCACCAAGCAGTCAAATTCCATGACATAAAGGCTGGCAAGAGGCAGATATCTGACTGAAAACAAGTGAGGAGACATCATCTCCATCATCCACCCCAGTCTACAAGTGTCCTAACTCAGCACAACCCTTGCCTGGCTTTGACAATGGCACATACATGGTACTTTCGGTTCCTTCACTCTTCCCCATAGACGAATTGGGACTTGATAGGTGAAAGTTCTCCAAGAAGTTACAAAATACCCCTAAAGGGTACCAGAGGAGCTTGTTATCTCTCCCCTAGCACATCCAGAGAGAAAATCACGTGACGCTCAAATTCAGTCACTTAAGCTACATGCACACAGGGACTTATGCCGCATTCCGGGACGCAGCAGGAATCTTAGGTGTCCCCCGTTCAGATGTGGCCACTGTACTTATTGAACGGGGGACACCTAAGATTCCTGCCACAGGAATCTTAAGGTTCTTGTTGCAGGAATCCCTGAATACCTCGTGTGAAAGTAGCCTAACTTTTATCAAGATGGTTCTGGTCAGCCTGCTCTCCCATCCAAGTGACACCAATGTGATTCCCCCAAATGACACCAATGTTTTGTTCCCCCAAAGCCACCAATATTTTGTTCCTCCCCCACCAACACCAATGTTTTGCTCCTCCACCAAGAGCGATGTTCTTCCCCCTCACGTTCTTTTTTATATAACACTGACATTGATGCTTTTTTTTTATTCACTGACACCAACATCATGGCATTCATCTGCCCACTAACAGAATTGCTGGGTGTTTTCCTCCCACTAATCATTAAGGACTCCGGGCTCTTTTCCTCAGTTGAGTTTGGAAGCCATGTCTGCTTCACAGAGTTGTCACCTCCCCCCAAACTCTTTTCCCAAGTTGTCACCTTCCAAATCCCCCTATCCCATCTCTTTTCCCAAGTTGTCACTTCCCCCCTCCTTAATTTACCAAGTTATCAATCCCCCCTCTTTTCCTAAGTTGTCAACTCCCGCCCCCCTCTTTTCCCAAGTTGTCAATTCCCGTCCCCCTCTTTTCCCCAGATGTCACTCTCCCCCCTCCTCTCTTTTCCCAAGTTGTCACTCTTCCCCTAATGAGGGTTTAATAACCCTTTAAAATGCAGCTATTCTAGCTGCACTGTAAACTTCCAGCTGTAACAAGCGGTTGTCACAAATTTGGGCATTGAAATATAAAGGTTTTCAGAATTTCGAATCAGAGGCAATTCCAACAATATACCGTAGGATCTGGTGCTGTCCCATAAAACCGAACATTTATCGGATGTGAGCTGAATGCGGTGCATCTGATTCTGACAGGACACATTGTTGTACATCCAAAATTGTAAGCAATAAAGTTGTTTGAGGGAAAAAAAAGTAGAGAAGCGACCCTAGCGCTAGCGTACTGGATGATGTGAGCGCGGTGGGTGGGGCCGACAGGAGGGACGCCGACCCGGAAATGTGTGCTGGGCGAGGCCTGAGAGTGTTTCCGGCAGCTGAGGAGAGCGGAGCGCGCTGGGCCCGGCCGAGGTGTTCGGAGCGATGTGAGGTAGAGCTGGGCAGCTCATTCCCGGCAGGTGAGGGTCCGAGGACAGGTGTGTGTGAGAGGTGGGCGAGAAGGGATGCTCTATCCTTCACATTTCCTTAAAACTCCACATACACGTCAGCGGCGGCAAAACGAGCAGCGCCCCCCTATGGTGGAGACCCCCACCACCCCAGTGTAGCGTCCATTCCTCACCGGGGTTCTACAATCCTCCTCCGTTCCGGCCATAGCGGCGAAAACATCTCCCCTCCACACATCAGAGGTAATTCTGTGCCACGGGAGGGGACATTCCTGGGGGGCCTGCGCCCACCGTACATGTCACCAACGTGTACCTGGAAGCCCTTCCTTACCCAGCACATGGGACTCCTATACCCTACACATAATGAGGCCCCCTTCTATTACTGTACCCTGTACATAATGAAAACTCCCTCTACTAAGGACTGCCCCCTTCTATTACTGTACCCTGTATATAATGAGGACCCCCCTCTACTAACGACTGCCCCTTCTAATCCTGTACCCTGTACATAATGAGAACTCCCTCTACTAATGACTGCCCCCTTCTATTACTGTACCCTGTATATAATGAGGACCCCCCTCTACTAACGACTGCCCCTTCTAATCCTGTACCCTGTACATAATGAGAACTCCCTCTACTAATGACTGCCCCCTTCTATTACTGTACCTTGTATATAATGAGGACCCCCCTCTACTAACGACTGCCCCCTTCTATTACTGTACCCTGTATATAATAAGGACCCCCTCTATTAATGACTGCCTCCTATTACTGTACCCTGTATATAATGAGGACCCCCCCTCTACTAATGACTGCCCCTTCTATTACTGTACCCTGTATATAATGAGGAACCCCTCTACTAATGACTGCCCCTTCTATTACTGTACCCTGTATATAATGAGGAACCCCTCTACTAATGACTGCCCCTTCTATTACTGTACCCTGTATACTATTGAAGGTCTCCTGCTATTACTATACCCTGCATATGAGAACCCCCATCCTATTCCTCGTTCACTGCAAAATAACCCCCCCCTCCCAATATACTCTGCATATAATGAGAACCCCCTACTAATTAAGGTCTCCTCCTATTACTATACCCTGTATATAATGAGACCCCCGCCTCCCCATCCTACTCGTTCACTGCAAAATAATGAGAACCTCCCCTCTACTAGTGACTGCCTCCTCCTATTCCTATACCCTGCATAGGATGAACCTAACCCACCCCATCCTAATCCTTTATTCACTGCAAAATAATGATACCTCCCCACAAATAACTGAGATCATCATATTCCTCTATACTCTGTATATAATGAGACCACCCCCTACTAATTACTGACCACCTATTCCTCTATACCCTACACATTATGAGAACCCCCTACTAATGACTGCCCCCTCCTATTCCTATACCCTGCATATGAGAACCCCCCTACTAATTACTAACCCTTCCTATTACTATACCCTGCATATAATGACCCCCCCATCCTATTCCTCGGTTAACTGCAAAATAATGAGAACCCCACCACCACTAATCACTAAGCTCCTCCTGTTCTCCGTACCCTGGATATAATAAGACCCCTCTACTGATCACGGAGCCCCTTATATTCCTCCATACCCTACACATAATGAGAACTCCCCCTACCAATGACTGCCCCCTCCTATTCTTTCTTATTCGTTTATAGCAAGATATATCTACTTTCCACAGTCATTGAGATCCCTATTCCTTGTAAATGAGATCTGCTCCCCTGTTCGTAAAGTGATCAAGACCTCTTTTTCCTCCAAATCTAGTGCCCAATGAGGCCAGAAATACCCAATGTTTGAAACCCACATATTACTTCATATCTTGCAAATTATATCACATTATATTCCTCCATCCCTAGTATATAATGGGATCAAGCTCCTGCCGTAACAGAAACTCCTTTATTCTTTACAGCAACGAGATCAGAACATCTTAATCCCAGACACCCATCCTGATTCCTCTGTGACCTGCAGGCATTTGGAATTAGAACCTTTCTAGCCCCTGTAAGTTCCTGTGACCTTCTTCAAATTCACCCTGTATAATGAGATCAAGACTGCCTTTCATGCCCTGCACATAAGATGAGAACTCCAAATGACTGTAATACCCTGCATATTTGTAGCAAGGACATTTCTTTCTACGGAACTCAATATATTAAGGTTAGGATACCCCTCCATCACTGAGACCCTCATACTCGCTACTCCTATATAAACACTTTACAGAGAAATCCAGATGATTAATTCCCAGTGTGTCCAGCGACTTCTCCCCATCACAAACAGAGGGGACTTAATGGTGTGGGAGTAGTGTGAATGATGAGTGTTTGGGTACAAGGCTGGCAGCTTGGGCTGAGTGAATATGAAATTGAAATGCCACATCATGATGTGGTAGTCTAGATACCTATATATTCCAATGTAAAATCAAATGAGAACTGGACATAAACCAACGCGTTTTGAGGGGGAAGATGTATAAAAACTTGGTAGCAAAAGTTAAAATTTGAACTAGTTATTGAAACTGGCACAAACGTCAACATCTGGGTGATACAGCAACAGTCTTTTAGAAGGCTGATACCTTCTTCCTCCAGCCAGTGCAGATGGGGGACCCCAAGCAGCTGTTTACCCTGCCATTGCCACTGAAGTTTTGACAGTTGTGAACCTAAAAGTGCTCATGTGACTGCTTCTGAGTTCATTAAGCCTAGATGAGATTGAAGCCTTCGAATTACCATAAGAGCCAGAGAATTAGTATTTGCTGGAGGAGAGGCCACCAATGTTAGCCCTTGGAACTACTACAGGTTTTCTTTATCATCTTGCTGTGTTTGTGTACATTTGCTGATAACAATGGCTGCTGCTGCCCATTGTCTAGTATAATACAGTTTATCTAACAAAGATACATCTTTGCCTTCTTGACTGTCCCTACATGAATCCATCTTGATAGTCTATTCACCAGTAGTAGTCTATCTTGGTGTAGTTCCTTGGGGGATTTCTGGTACATCTGGTCGTTGCTGTTAATCTTCTACTTCAAAGCTGTTTTGGCTCTTATGGATAGATGCTTTCACCTAACATTGCAGTTGCTTTAACCACATCTGTTGAACATTTATTGAAGTGTAACATATTCTTTCAATGTGAGCTTTGAATTGGTAACTCGTTCGGCAGCATTGATGCTTCACGCAGTCCTAGGAATAGCACGGCAAAGGTCTTCGATTGCATACTTGCATATAAATCACCAGCTGTGCTGGTTTCTTTTTTTTGTTGGGTGACTGTTTGATCCTCCTCCTGAAACAGTAAAACGTGTCTAGGGCAATTATCACA